TCCAGGTCTTTAATAAAACCATGTCTCCTGGCTTGATTTCGGTAGAGACAGGCTCTTTCTTGGACACAGGTAAATTTTTATTGCCATAGTCAAGGATAGCCTGCTGTACCTGTCTTAGACTGATTAAATGTTTTATAAATTTGTGAGCTTCTGAATCAAACAGCAGATCTGCTATTAAGAAAGGCCTCATATAGCATTTCACAGGGGCTGAGTTTGAGGTTCCTTTTTGGGGCCATTCTCATTCTCAAGAGAGCTATGTGTATGAGTTTCATCTAGGATTCTGCGGTTTTCTGACGAAGTTTGGCCAAGATTTGATTAACCCTCTTGATCTTTCCCAAGGATTGGGGCCTCCAGGCAGTGTGAAGGTGGTAATGAATTCCCAGGGCAGAAAGCACTTGCTGAGTCACCCTTACAACAAAGGATGGGCTGTTACCACTCTGCCGAGACTTTGGAGGCCCAAAATACAGGATAACTTCCTTTAGTAGAGCTTCTGCTATCTCTTGAGCTTTTTCTGTTCTAGCAGGAAGAGCCTCTATCCAACCAGTGCAAGTGTCCACAAAGACCAGGAGGTATTTATGTCCCTGAGATGGGGGCGTCTGAGTGAAGTCTATCTGCCAGTCCTCTCCAGGTTATGTGCCTTGTCTTTGGATGGGCTAGAGAAGTGGAGGTGTTCTTGTGACATAGGCTACAGGTCCTGGTGACTTCCTTGATCACCCATGACAGGGTAATTCCTGAGAAGACTCTAACTAAGGAGGTTAACATGTCTCTTCCCAAATGAGAAAAGTCATGTAGTCCCTTGATGATTTTCCATCAGGCTGCCTAGGGAAGCATCACCTTTTGATGTCCACCGTCCCTTGGGATGGAGCTGGTAGTCTTTCTGCTGAGTCCAGTTTATTTTATTTATTTATTTTATTTATATTATTGGTAGTCTTTCTGCTGAGTCCAGTTTACTTCCCTCTTTGTATAATGGGACCTTTGCTGGAGGACTGGTCCATGAAAGAGTAAAGCTGCCTGTATTGGGAGTTTGGGGCCTTAAAGCCATCTTTTGGAGCTTTCTACAAATATCTGGGCTGCCCTGGCTTAAAAAATGAGTTTCCAGGACCAACATTCCCTCTGGGGTATCTGGATTGACATTGGTGAACTTCTGTGGTCCTTCCACTGGACGGGGCGGAAAAGAGCAGGATTGTCAGTGGGTCCTTGGGTGATCTCCCTCAGATTATCATAGTTTACTAGCTTGATACATCTTCTCATGCTCTCCAGGAGGCACAGTACGATGTGGTCCCTGAGGTCTAGTCCCTGATGCCCAGGCTGGTAATTCCAGTTAGGGTCTATCTGAGGTATGACAGTCATTCCAACTGGGGTATCTGTTAGGCTGGGTAGCATGAAGTTTTCCTCTTCTGCCTGAGTACAGAATTGCTCCTCTGGATGGTAGAGATGCAACAGAATGACCAGAAGGTCCTTCCAGGTTAGATCAAAAGAATGGAATCAGGCTCCTGAATTCCTCAGTAAATTTGTTAGGATCCTCAGAAAACTAGCTTAGCACTCATGGCACTGCCCGAAATCTAACATCAAAAAAGGGACATAGAGTCTTTGTGGTCCCCTAAGTTCCACCCACCACATCCTGGAGGGGGCAGAGGAACTTTTTCTTTTGGTCTGAGTCTGGCCAAAGAGGGTAGACTGGTTGCTAGGGTGAGGGACTGGTTGCTTAGGCTGGAGCCAATGGTGCTGAGGTATTTCCGAGGGGAGCTACTACAAGAATTCCTTTCTTGGGGCCAAGATCTAATGACCCCGCCTCCCACTGTGCATGTTTTATATTTGTCAGGGGCATCCCTGAGGGCCATAAAGGCCTGGATGGAAGGGAATCTCTACTCTTTTCTTGCACTGTATGGAAGACATCAACTTGCAATATGGTTTTATAGTTAAGCTATCATTTTCTGACCAGACCTCCCCTCTAGCTTATATGGTGGCCAAGCAATGTTACAAAAGAAATGAGCATTTTCCTATTTAGGCTTTCTAATAGAAGCTGATCCCAGTGTCTCAAAATACATCCCAGGGGGGGTCTTTGGGGATAGAGGTGGAATTTCCCATTGTCTTCAGGGAGAGAGCTGACGTGTGTAACAAGAAAAGGAGCAACTAAACCAGGTTCCCATTACCAGAAGCCTGGAGTCCTATTTCCCTGAGGAGAGTTAGCTCTCTCTCTGAAACCTGATAGGATCTTGTGGTTACTCTTCTAGAAAGTTCCAATGGCGAGTGGACTGTGGGTGATCCCAGCCTACTGTCCATCCACCCCTGAAATCACGGCTATGGCCAGCATGCCGTGTGATGACCCAGCAGCCCTGACACCCCAGGGCCCTCGCCTTTTTCCAGCACCTGCTGTCCCAGAAGTGATGGCCTTCCTGAAGACCCGACAGAAATGATGTCTGATAATTAACCCTGATGTCCCAGGATGGATCCTTCCGAAACGGGCATTATCACGATTTCAAGATCTCTGAATATCCCACCTCCCTTGCTCTGATATGCCTCTTAACAGCTGGTGGCAAACAATAGCTACCAAACAGGAATCTCTTGGGTGATCTAAACATTTCTTGTCTGACCTGTTGATCTCTCCCCCACTTTGTGGGCAGTTCTGGTGAAACTAACCTCTATTTTCCAGTTCTCTTTGCATCCCTGAATTATTTGGGTTGAGTCACATTTAATTAAGTGGTGGATAAGGCACACCCACAGGGAGAGATCTCAAGGACGGGGGTCCTTTGCCAGGGAGTAAAATGGTTTATAGCTATTTTATGGTGATCACAGTCTGAGCTGGCAGTCGTGCAGGACCTCTGCGATACAGGAAAGGACATCTCACAGGTCTCCATGCCCCACCACCAACAGAGGAGAGTGCAGAAGAAGGTAGGAGAGGAAACAGGTGAAGGCAGACAAAGTGGGTCAGTGTCCCATGACCAAGAGGCAGAGTCCTATAGACAGAGTCAGCCTGGGAATCTCAAGACAGTCACCTTGGGACCAGTGAAGAGGATCTCGGTGTGCTGCTGTGTCACCTGCACGAGTGACCATGGAGCACTCTCTTACATGTCTCAGTTTCTCCCACCAGAAGTCTAAGACAACCAGAGTGGTTTGGAGCACCAGAGGATCAGTGCTTGTGTGTACATACCCAGATGAGCCCAGGTCTTAATTACTAGTGAGATGCAAAACCCCATGGGGCTCTTGCACATCCTGAGAAATAATCTCCGACATTTCCATAAAACTTTTAGTCACCTAAGAGTGACTTTTGGCTGGAAGGAGCAAGTGTCCCTTGATTCTTTGGAGATGAAAATTAATCTCTCATAAACGCCACCGGACCATCCGGTTCCCAGGTAGAACAGAGAGGAGAGCAAAGGAGGAATGGTGAGTTGACTAAGCAACCCCCCAGCACAAAGACAGGCGAGAGCTGGAGGCTCACCAGGGTGGAAAGGGTCGCTCAACGCGCTGTTCCTTCCTTCTGGCTGGCTCGCCAAAAACGATGCCGCCCGTAGACTGGGGAGACCCTGGCCCCTGTGGCCTCCGCCCAGCCCATTCCAAGGATGGAACGCTGCTGGTCTCATCGCAAGAAAGAATTCAAGCACAGACCAGGCACAGTGGATGAGCGGTGCAAGCAGGAAAGTTCATCGAAGTGCAAGCAGGCTCCGCAGACGCGAGCGGGCCGGCTCGAGAGCCCCACGCTGGGCGCTTGGGTTTCTATCCTTTACTGACAGGTGTTAACCAGGGGTGCAGGATCTATTACCTGCGGCGGGGAATTCTCGAAAGCAGGGCTTCCCGCCTTTTCTTCCTTATTCCGTCGGGGTTTCCAGCCTTCTTTGTCAGCCGGGGCGGGGGGGCCAGTCTGGTTTGGTCCGGTTTCTCGCGGCTGTTTTGGGAGGGCCGCCAGGTCGGGCCTCTGACTTTCTAACCGCGCTGGCCGCGATTTCCCCTGCTCTGGACTCTTAAAGCCTAACGAGCCGCCTACTCCAACACGGGCAGACGGCCGTCCGGAATCAAGAGCTAAGGGCTGTGGTGCGATGAGGAGCAAAGCGGGAAGGGAAATGGGAGGATCTTGGACCCGCGAAGAAACTGGGGAAGCGGTTTGTGGACGCCGCAGCAGTCCGGGCCTCCAGCTCAGAGCTGGCTGCGAGGAAGACGCCCTCAAAGAAGGCTTCCCACAGGCAGTGGCAAACTACTGAGAGTCGCTCCTCCCAACAGGAAACGACGGAGGTTTTTGACTCAGGAAGAGAGACTCCAACACCGCACCTATGCGAAAAAACGCTTCTGGGAAGAGGACTCCGTTCGCCTACCCCGAAGAGCTGGCAGCAAGCAGACACGCCCCCAGGCGGGCTTCCCGGATCTTATTGGTTGTCTCCAGTCAGCCCCTCTCTCAATTGGTCAGCACTGCCTAGCGTCAGCTGTCACAGACACTATCCAGAACCAATAATCTCTACCCCCCACTCTGGCTCTCCTCCAACATGTGAGTGACCTTTAGACGAACCAATAAGATAGGGAAAGTGAGGATGTGAAAACGAGACTCCTTCCCTTTTTCTTCCTCTCGTTCAGCAAATGGTAGCTAAGGCTGAGCAGCTGACACCAACCACCAATCCTAAGGGCGGAACTGGGAAGTACAGAAGAGTGATGGGAGGAGGTGACGTGGCAGTGACGGGATCATAAACTGAAATGAGTGGCGGAAACCCTGGCCAATCCGTGATCGAATTGGCCGGGCACTCTGCATTCTCGGGTCCTCCCGGAGCGCCTGAGACTCCGGGAAAGCACCAATGGGCTTGTACGTGAGTCTGATTGGCCTTCAGCTGAACCAATCAGCGGCGTGCCTGCAGGACGCGTCCCACCCCGGGCTCTCACTGGGCGGTGTGGGATGACAGGCCCGAGAGAAATGCCAATGTCCTAAGGGTCCTCCGCAAGTGACGCTCAGGAGCACCAATCGACTGTCTCCTTCCCGGCGGCCGAGCCCTCCTCCCGCGGCGGGCCTGGCGGGGCGGGGACGCTGCGCGGCCGCTGCTGATGCGCTAGCCGTGTGGGGCTCTCCGGGCGGCGACGGCGGCTCTCGTAGGCGGTTCCGGTCCTGTATCTCGGGGCGGCGGCGGCTCATGGCGGCGACGGAGCTGAGAGGGGTGGTGGGGCCAGGGCCGGCGGCCATCGCAGCTCCGGGCGGCGGCGGCACCGGTCCCCCCGTGGTGGGAGGCGGCGGCGGCCGCGGAGACTCGGGGCCAGGCTCCGGGACCGCGCTGGGCACGGTGGCCGCGGCGGCGGCGGCGGGCGGCCCGGGCCCCGGCGCTGGGGGAGTGGCGGCTGCGGGCCCGACCCCTGCGCCGCCGGCGGGGGGCTCCGGCGGCTCCGGCGCCGGGGGTTCGGGCTCGGCTCGAGAGGGCTGGCTCTTCAAATGGACCAATTATATCAAAGGCTACCAGCGGCGGTGGTTCGTGCTGAGCAACGGGCTCCTGAGCTACTACAGGTAACTGCTTCCGGGGCGCCGTCCCCCACGGCAGCCCACAGTCCCCGCGCCGTCACCCTCTCGAGCCGGCACCGCAGCCAAGGTCGCCCCAGGCCCCTTTTCGTCACCTGCGCGCACTGACAGCCCGCGACGCGAGCCCACCACCACGAAAGTGAACGCCCCGGGTCTAAGCCCTCCACCCGGGTTACCCGCCCTTGTTGCAATACCTTCCACTCGGTCCCTGGCCTTTCCAGTTGTTTGGAGAGCATCTACTCTTCCATTGTGTTTCCACCAGCACAGAGGTGCAGTGATGAGTTCTGCAAGGAAGGCGCTGTTGTGGGTGCTAAGGGACGCATGTAGGAGAGCAGAGCCTAGGCATGGCTCTCCAGGAACTTGCTGTGAAAGTCCCAAGTCTTAGCTGTATGTGCCCAGTCTCCAGAATTCAAGGTTATTAGCAGCCCTTGATGTACCCGACGTTGTTCTCTCCACTTTCAGGCACAAGGACGCCAGGCACAGGGTGGCCTTGGTATCTACCCCCTGTTTTCCTTTTCTCTCCCAGACTTGGCATATGCCTTCACCTCCTGGACAGCCCGGAGTGGAGATGTGCACTCCAGTGCTGCTTTTATTCACACTCATCCACCTGCCCCCATGGGAATGGTTTAGAGGGTTTATCTAGTATTTCTGGGGTCTCTTTGGTTGGTTAGGTTTAAGTTTTTTTTTTCTTTTCTTTTTTTTTTTTTTTTTTTTTAGGTTTAAGTTTTATTAAAAGAAGAATCCACGTCTTTGGTATGATTACTTCTGTTCCACAGTGTTTGTTTTGGAGTGTTTAATATATATTTATGGTGACTCACAGTCTTGCTGTAAACTGCAGCATGCTTTTGGCCACTTGAGTTACTAGACATATGATACTGGATTTGGGAAGAAACATAGACATTTTCCGAGTGCTGGAGGGTTTGGATGGTTTTGTTGACTCCTGACACTAGCTCTGGGAGTTAGGAGATACTCCCATCTTACTGACGGGGAAACTGAGACCTAGCTGGGCAACTTTTCCGAGGTCTTAAGGAGTCAGGGTTTGACACTAGTTCTCTTCACACCAACATAACCTAAAACTCAGGTTAGTGTTAACATGAATCAATCAGATAATAGAGATCGTTGCTTGCCTATAGCAAGTACGTTTCTAGATCACCGTTACTATGTGTCCTTTATACAAAATATAATTAGTCTGTTTAAGGGAGACTTTGCTTAATAAAATGGCATTTCTAATTGAAATTTTTTAATAAAGACCATCCTGTTTGAGACCCCAAACGCTGTGAAGAGCAGCTCACTCTTTTTCTCTTCCTCTGCAAGTAGTCATTCTGCCACCAGGAGAGTTAGAGTGAATGAATCCCTTGCATCAGCTCTTAGAGAATTTTGAGGGGAAATTGAAGGTGGGAGTTGGAGGTTGTTGAAGTAAGAACACATTCTTATCTAGTCTCTAACAGTGGAAAATGCCTTAGCACATCCTCACTGCTTCAGCTACGTTGTGAATAGTTGTGTGTGTCATTTGCATTATTATATGTTCAGAATTAATTTTAATTTTAACCCTCTCTAAGTATTCATCCAGGATGATCAGTGGAGGGTTAGATCACAAGTCTGACATTTTAGTGTGTTCCAAAACTTTCCCCCTACTCAAGTCCTGCTTTCCTGTTACACTGACCACCACTCTAATGTTCAGTTGATTCGTATCCTAACTTAGCTTGTAAGTCACTGTTAACATTGATTCCTCGTCTTCAGAAGTTGTGTCACAGTCAGCTGCAGGCCTTACTGTGTGGCCATTTTTCCTTATCCAAGTTCTTACCAGTTCCACTTTCCATGCCAGTTGATTCTTTGATCAGTTACAGTGTTAAACAATGTTGATATTGGCTGGACATTAAGAACTTAAATGTTGCGGTCTCTTCAGGTATTTGCAGTCACTTTTAACTTGTCTCCTTCAAGAGCTAGTGGCACCTGTCTGACTACAGATCAAACTCCTTCCAAAGCATACCAAATCACATATTGGGAAATGTGCATACGCCTGTCTTTGCCAGCTAAGATGGTCCCACCCACAAACCAACCAAGCAACAGGAACCAGGGTTATCAAATCTGTGCACTGCCTTCAAAATCACACTGAAGTGGGGTGCCTGGGTGGCTCAGTGGGTTGAAGCCTCTGCCGTCGGCTCGGGTCATGGTCCCAGGGTCCTGGGATCGAGCCCCACATCGGGCTCTCTGCTGAGCGGGGAGCCTGCTTCTTCCTCTCTCTCTCTCTGCCTGCCTCTCTGCCTACTTGTGATCTGTCTGTCAAATAAATAAATAAAATCTTTAAAACAAAAAAAATCACACTGAAGTACTTCCTACCAACTACACTGGTAGTTTATTCTTAACAGGGTTCTTTGGGTTCCCATCTCCTTAGAGTTATTTAACTAAATTGTCATTCTTCCCACTTTTCGTGCCTCTGTAACCTGTCATCTCCTCTATATGCCTTTTATAAAATGCTGTTTTCTTTTTAACTGAGGTCATGTATTTCTTAGACCCATCCTGTGATGAACCATCCCAATGGGCTTTAGCGGGCCACTTCTCTCTTTTTACCCATCCTGTTCTTTCTTACATACACAGTTACATGGATGTCCCATTACCTAAAACCATATGTAGAATCCCAGCTTTCCCAGACACATGGTGACAGGGCCATATAGCATTAGTTTTCCTGACTAGCTTCTGGAGATTGACTTACTGTTTTGGCTGGCCTTTTTAGGGAACTTTCTAGACAGAAAGTCCACCTAATTGGTAAGTAGTGACTGAAGAACATATCTTGCACTCCGAAAATCATATCTTTCCAGCCTCTGTACGAATCATCTGTAACGTGTATCTGCCCGAACCCAAGAGCTCCTGAGTCAAGCCTGCCTTACTCCTAGGGTTCTTTCGTAGTTCTAAAACTGCTGTAGACTTTATGGGATGTTCGTGAAGATGACCCAGGCAGAAGACATTCGTATAAGTGTCTGGTGAAAAGTACCAACAGATAGTGAGGAAAGTGGTACAAAGTCCAAGTAGCACCCTTAGAGTAGAAAGCAAGGGTGAGCTGGCCTGTCAGCTGCGGTCTGAAATTCGTCCTGCATTATTCATAATGTAACTGAAGCTTGGGGGCGGGGGGGGGGGGGGGGGGGGGGGGGGGGGAGGAGGAGGTAAGAATAGAAAAAACAGGGATTCACGTTACAGTGTAGCAGGTGCAGGGGGTGGAGAATGGCCCAGTCCATTGAGACCCCCCTGGCCATCCCATACTGCTCATTTGTGCATTTGAGGAAGAAAAACCAGTTTCATGTGACACACTGAACAATAGCAAATCTGTCTTCCTAAGCACAGTAAACAGACTTTCTCAAACATACCAAGTCTTAGTTTCTGGAGATGGGGTGTGTGTCATTTCTGGCATGCAGGAATTCTGGATGTGCCAGGTGTGCGGGACTGCTTGGCGAAAGGGAAAGGGAAATGGCTCCGCTCTACACTGTGGCAGTTGGCAAAGGACTTTGACCTCTGTATGTTCCAAGTTGGTCAGGGAAAACTGTGGTCTCAACATGCAGGTCTCTGGGCATAACCCAGCGGGTGGCGGGGAAATTATCTCAGTCTGCAAGGTCTATGCAGTTGTGCTAGCAACTTGGTATTTTCTGTGAAGTAGCTTGTCACCAAGTGGTGATGTAAAGTTCAAAAGTTAGGCTATTAATAGAACTGTCAGTAGAGATGGGGAAAATTTTTACACCCAATCCTCTGAGAACAGATTTGCTGAATCTTTCCTAGCTATTAATAGGATGGCTTAGGAGTTCCTACCAATAGAGGTCAGTGGATCTTTGGAAAGAGCATATTCCCAAAGGATTATACTACCTGGTGATTCTTTTATGATTATTATTATTCTTTCTCTATTCCTACAGAGAGCTAGTTATTCCTTTCATATCATTTGAGCTGTAGTCAATACTTAATACCTAAGCATCTCAGTGTACCTTACACTGATGCAGTAGAATTCTAAGCGTAGTGTGACAACTCTCATTTGGGCTGAGTTGAGGTTAGGGAGGGGGGTTGTTCAGTATATGTGAAATGGAGCTCTTCTTTCTCAGAGGGAGTGAGATTGTAAGAAATTTTGTTGTGTGAGTTTATGAATCACTATTTTTTTTTAAATTTTATTTATTCATTTGAGAGAGAGACAGAGAGCGCACAAGCAGGGGGAGGGGCAGAAGGAGACTCCCTGCTGACCTGGGAGCCTGATATGGGGCTGGATCCCAGGAACTGGAGATCGTCACCTGAGCCGAAGGCAGATGCTTAACCATCTGAGCCACCCAGGTGCCCCATAAATCACTATTTTAAACTTAGAACTTGCTGAGTAAGAAGTAATTCCTGACGACAAAAAGGTAATGAGGGAACTTTTTTTGGTGTAATGGGCATGTTCTACATCTTGATTGTGAAGGTGGTTACACAGTTGTGTACATTTGTCAAAACTCACTGCATTATACACTGAAAATTGCTGAATTGACATAGCCTTCCATGAAGGCTCTTTCTGAAAAGCCGAGGGTGAGAGGAACAGCAGAGCAATACAATCTGACTCTGAAACACCACTTAATGGCTGTGAAAGGAAATCCCTGCTGATTGTTTCTGGAATTTTAGGGTGCCATGTGAGGGCAATAGTAGAACTTGCTGTTTCCTAAGGCTGCCTCATTTTCAAAAGGCTTAGAGCTACGAGAAGACAAGGAAGGAGGTGAATGATAAACCACCCATCCGCTTTTTACTTAAGCTGGTCTTTGTCTCATTATTGCAGGTCAAAGGCTGAAATGAGACACACCTGCCGTGGGACCATCAACCTCGCCACGGCCAACATCACCGTGGAGGACTCCTGCAACTTCATCATCTCCAACGGTGGCGCTCAGACCTACCATCTGAAGGCGAGCTCAGAGGTGGAGCGGCAGCGCTGGGTGACGGCCCTGGAACTGGCCAAGGCGAAGGCTGTGAAGATGCTGGCAGAATCGGGTAGGGAGCAGAGAACACCACGTGTGGGGAGCTTCCTGTTTGCGCCTCCTCGGCACATACCTTATTTTATCCCTCACTCTCAGTCAGTTATGACCCATCTGACTGACTCAGGCTTGTCCTCATCGTGTGGCATTTCTCCCGGAGTGGTGGCTTTCACCTGTCCGCAGTTCTGCCCTGCGCAGTGTCTGGAGATGTTTCTGTGGTCGTAGCCGAGGGTTGCTGCTCCTGCGGGCATCCGGTGACTAGAGGCCGGGGAGGCTTCACGGGACAGCCCTCACAGCCCAGAGTGAACCGGGCCCAAATGTCAGTAGTATCGAGGCTGAGAAGCTCTGTCGTAGAGGTGCAGTGGGTGTCCTTTTGGCTTTTAATGCCATTTGGCTACCTTAAAATTTGGGGAAAGAAATATTTTATTGCTAGGTCCATCTTAAGATCATTACAGCTCACAGTTTGATTCTGTTGTTACTTTTTTTCTTTTTCTCCTGAAATTTTCTTACCTAAGTATCTTCTGAGTTGAAACAAGCAGTCTTTATAGGTTGCCAGAAACCTTATAGGGGATACTGCCCATGAAAAATCTTTAGTTTGCCTTAGTTTCACCAGAAAGAGTGGTATACACGTTTTGATATTTCTTCAAGGAAAATTGTGGGATTTCCCCTGCCCCACTTGTTGATAGTTTAAGCACCCTGAGCTTGTCCACTCAGAGCTGACCGGGATGGTCACCTGCTGGCTTTTGTTCACCTCTTGTTTTTCTTATCCGCGGTCATTTCCCACACTGTATTTAAAACCTGGTAAACAGTGAAAGGAATATTTACTACATTGTTAGTTTTTTTTGGTAACAGGTTATATTTTGGGTTTAGTCCTGCCTCTGGAGCTAGCAGATAGGGGAGGTCTTCTCTTATTTCTTTTGTTTTGATTTTAGTGCTGATGTTCCAAAGGAGGTGACACTGCTAGGAAAGCATTTTACAGTTGCAGGACTGATAGCGAGAGGTGCAGCATGGCCCTCTGTTTGACCTGCTGCTGGAGGGTCGCTTAACAGAACACCTTACATTGCTTTCAGCGCAGGGGTGGCTTTAGTGTCAGATGAGTTCATCACAAAGTTCCTGAGCTCTCCTTTGGAAAAGGTAAATTAATGAGTCTTTTGGTGATGTGGACATTGCTTACAAAGAGCCAGCCTGCAGTTCACAGCCCGTTGCATACAGGGCTCACCTGTCACCCACAGGCTGATGGTGGATTTGTAGTAGTGATCAGCTTGGACCGGATTGGAACCCTCAAGCTTGAGTTACAACGCTCTATAATTCATTCCCAATCCCAGGAGCCATTTAGCTTCTCCGTCCTGTCTTCCAAGGGTCATTGGTTCCGAGACTTCAGCGCGCGTCAGAAGGCCTGGGCAGCTTTTTCAAAATGAAGGTTCCTGGGCGTGGCCTCACATCAGCCCAATCAGTTTCTGGGGCGGGGCCAGAATGTTGGCACCTTTAATAAGCCCAGGGCTGGGAGGGTGGGGAAATTGAATGTAGATGGACAAAAGGTACAGACTTGTAGTTATAAGATAAATAAATACTGGGGATGTAACATACAACATGATGACTATAGTTTTTTTAAGAATTTATTTATTTGACAGAGAGCATGAGCACAAGCAGGGGAAGTGGCAGGCAGAGAGAGAGGAAAGCCCCTGCTCCACAGGGAGCCCGATGTCGGGCTCAAACCCAGAACCCTGGGATCCTGACCTGAGTAGAAGACAGATGCTTAAGCGACTGAGCCACCCAGCTGCCCCCACACGATGACTGTTAACGCTATATGGTATATTTGATAATTGCTGAGAGATTACATCCTAGAAGTTCCCATACAAGGAAGAAAACATTTTTGAGATGATGGGGGCTAACTAAATTTATTGTGGTGATCATTTGTCAGTATATATAAGTCAAATCATTATGCTTTGACAGTGCTGTATGTCAGTGATGACTCGATAAAACTAGAAGGAAAAAGAAAAGCGCGAGCAGAATAAATGCTTCTCGTTATGTGTCCCAGTGGAAAAAAAAGGACGAACCAGCCTGGGTGTTTGTGGTGCAGGTGGGCTGTGGACTGCATCAGCGCCTAGTTGTCTGGTAACGGCAAGCTCTCCGTCGGCCGCAACGCCCAGCGCGAGGCGTGCTGGTTTAGCTGGGGACAGAGTTGCTGGGCTTACGACTCACAGCTCTGGAGTCACGTAACTGGCGTCCTGTGATTCCCCTTTTGGCTGTACAGATGAGTCTGGAGATGAAGAGGCTGTGTCGCAGACTGACAAGACGGAGCTGCAGAATACCCTGCGGACGCTCTCCAGCAAAGTGGAGGACCTGAGCACGTGCAACGACCTCATAGCCAAGCATGGCACGGCGCTGCAGCGCTCCCTCAGCGAGCTCGAGTCCCTGCGGCTGCCCGCCGACAGCAACGAGAAGATCAAGCAGGTCAACGAGCGGGCCACGCTCTTTAGGATAACATCCAATGCCATGATCAATGTGAGTGCTGAGTGCGGCTGGCGCCTGGGCCGCCTTTTCATTCTTTCCCCCGGAAGGTCGTTCTCCCCATGTGCCGTGCTGGGGAACGTTGGAAATGAGAAAGCAGGGAACCGCTCAGGGGACTTAAGTGACATTGTTTGTTCCATGAACGAGACCAGGCCGCACAGTTGGAATGACTTTCCTGCTCTGCTCACACAGTCCATGCCAACCTGGGAATTCGTTAGGAGGCCAGGGGCCCAGTCTTCCTTCTGCAGCCAGCAGGACATCTGGTGGTGATGTTAGTTGAGTCCCTTAACCTCTCTGGGCCGTGGTTTTCTTTTGTTTTTATCTAACCTGATCCACTGGATCTGAGAGGTCTCCGTGGGTCCCTTCTGCTGTTGTGTGTGAACTTCAAGTTGGGAGTCTTACCGTCCTTTGCTAGTGCGTTCTGGCCTACAGTGTGGTAAGTGGGGGCCGGCCAGGTACTAGTGAGAACTTGATAATACTAGTTAGTCCCATCTGTAGTCCTTGATCCCAGGGTTAATTCTGGGTGACAAGACAGAATATTCAAATTTGGGTACTTTGCTTTCAAAAAGAAGGGACCAGTGCTCCTATTTTATTGTGACTCTAGCCTCGGGTGGCTGAGTGGACTACGTCAGCTGCCTGGGTACAGGGCTCCAGGTAAACTCAGAGCATGGCGGGCGTTGGGATGTATTTCAGAAACTGGGTGATAGGTGTGAAATGAATACATGGTTTAAATAGCGCGGTTTCTCCTCTCCTGGTGACTGATCTCACCTGGCGGGTTGTTTCAGTTAACTTACCCAGAGGAACACCAGGGGTTATGTCGTAAGGCAAGTGGAATGGGTATTCTGAGAAAGGGGTTACGCTGGTTTTGCCCCTGTCCAATTAAATGGCATGAAATTATCCTACCAGGGCCAGATTTTCCCTTGTTCAGGGAGCGATAGTAAGATACCTTCTTTGAACTAGTTTAGTTCACATGGCTTCTAGAGATCAAAGGTCTTTTCTCGTGACCGGGGGAACATTTTGTTTTTTTCACTTAAAACCCCTTTGTTACTCAATAGGAAGTTGTGATAACCTTGATTTTCATATCATTTTCTGAAATGTTGAACATTTTCTTCAGTGCTCTGATTCACATACCAGGTAGAACAGGCTAATTGTTTTTGTCTACTTCAGGACTGCAGGAAGATCAGCTGTCTCCCAGGACCATCCTGCCCATCAGCACGAGTGCTTGTGTTTGTTTCTAATGGCTAATCGTGTGCTCTTGTTCCAAACTGTCCACTTCTTAGTGATGGCATGCCTATTTTTCAGGTCCTCTTGTGATCAGGAAAATCTCATAAATCATACAGGTCAATTCACCAATAGTAAATAAATACACTTTTTAAATGGAACAACTCAGGCCACAATAGTCCACTGACAGTGCGTGTTGCCTCTTGTCCCTGCTCCATGGCAGGTTTTCTTCCCTTCTGATGTGAAAAATTAGCTAAATCAAACACCTCTTGGGGAGCCTGGGTGGCTCAGTGGGTTAAAGCCTCTGCCTTCGGCTCAGGTCATGATCTCAGGGTCCTGGGATCGAGCCCCGCATCGGGCTCTCTGCTCAGCAGGGAGCCTGCTCTCCCCACCCCCACCTTCTCTGCCTGCCTTTCTGCCTACTTGTGATCTCTGTCAATTAAATAAATCTTTAAAAAAAAAAAAAAACCTCTTGATAAAAAATATTCTCATAAAACTGAAACCCAGTTTGGATTTTTCTTTCGAAAAAAATGCTCATCTTTGTTCCTTGGGGCAGTTCCTCCTCCCCAAGTTGTAAATGTTCAGAGTTTGTGTCAAAGGGAATGATCCTTTGGCAATCAGAGGTAAATTGTGTGTTTTCATTCTGTTCTCCCCAGTGTACTGCCTATGCCTCCTTCATAGCTGGGTGTTGCTTGAAATGGGTTTTTTATGCTTGTGTTTTTTCCTTTGTATCTTTTCGGTGATAACGGCAAGGCCTTAATATTAACCTGCTAACTTCACATCCCCAAACAGGCAAAGTTTTATCAAAGGAAGAGTACGTTTTGCTCAATTTCTTGATTGCTTAGGGCATAGCTATTCTTACCACCAAAATGAATCTAACCTGAGAAATACATTTGATACTATTAGTGTATCCATTTGCTTATCCAGGAAACATCCATGGAGCACCATCTGTTTTCTAGGCACTGTGCTATGGGATATAAAACAAATGTGGATACGGTCCCTGCCCTCAGGGAGATTATTCTTTAGTGAAAGGACAGAGAAGTGACGGATCATTATAGTGTGCTAGGTGTCATGATAGAAAGGAGCACAGGCTGCTGTGGTGTATATAGGATATTGGAGGTGTTCAGCTCAGACCAGGAAGATTACAAGATAGAGAAGGTAACTCCTCAACTAACTTTTGAAAGACCAGAGAGACTCTTCCTATGAAAAAAGGCAATAAAGAGCTTGGGGGCCTGAAGTCCAGCTGCTTTGTCTATCTACATAACCGGCTTCCTCTGTGAACGCAATTCCTTTTCGGTAAATGGTGATGATACCAGTAGCTGCTCAAAGAATTGTTGAAAGGCTTCTATAGATAATTAATGTAAAGGGTTCAGCAAAGTGCCTGACATAATTGCCTTTCATTAAACTTGAGTTATGATCAGTATTCTTAAAAGAAGTGTGGGAGAAGAACTGATCTGGGTATGGATGTGGCTTACGCAGATCCCTTCCCTCCCTCCCAGTCTGAAAACTAATTGACTGTTAGAATAAGGAAGTAGCTAGAGATAAGGCTGGCCAGGGATTAAGTGTGGGGGAGGGGATGGGGTACAGATCCTACTAAATGGGCTTGGTAGAGTGGATTAGAAGGGGATAAGACCGATTTTGATGCAGGCTTAACTATAATAGCTAACGCCTTATTGAACGCTTACTGTGAGCCTCAGATTTCTAAGTGCTTTACAGGTAAAGCAACGACTCTTTGAGACAGTTGCTGTGGTGGTTCTTTGTTTACATATGAGGCACAGATAGATTAAATAAATAACTTGCCCCAAATTGCATAGCTAGATAGTGGGATGGAGCTGTGAGTAAAGCCCCAATGATGGAACTCCTCTGAGTCTAGAGGATGGAAAGATGTGTACACAGATCCCAGAAATATTAAAGAAGAATCAGTAGGACTTGATAATTGGAAGTGGAGAGGGAAGAAAAATGTAAGAATCAAGGGTGCCTCCAAGTTTCCTGGCTTGGGCAGGGGAGGAGGGCCCTGGTACTCTTCTTCTTTTTTTTTTTTTTTTTAAAGATTTTATTTATTTATTTGACAGAGATCACAAGGAGGCAGAGAGACAGGCAGGGAGAGAGGAGGAAGCAGGCTCCCTGCTGAGCAGAGAGCCCGATGCGGGGCTCGATCCCAGGACCCTGAGATCATGACCCGAGCCGAAGGCAGAGGCTTTAACCCACTGAGCCACCCAGGCGCCCCCCTGGTACTCTTCTTGGTGTGGAGAACAAACACCAAAGGGCGAGGTAGAGTCAGAAAGGGAACATGGTGTGTTCACTCTGGGACCCTAGGATTTTGAGATTACTTTGAACTGTTGGATAGACAATTGGATACCCTGTCTCCATGAATGCAGAGCTGGAATTACTGATTTTGTAGACATTAGCCTATAAGCAAACGTTGAAACCATGGGAGTAGATGTTTTGTGTTTACTTTTTAGTTTCGCCGTAACAGGGCATAGACTTTTAAGCTTGCATTGCTTCCTTCCTTCATTATTTATTAAGCAGACTTTATCAGGCTCCTACAATGTACAAAGCAACTAAGTTAGGAGCTGTATATAAATAAGATATAAATGGTGTGTTCAAGTTGCTTGGAACCCACCTGGAGAGACAGGAAATCAGTTACAATGCCACTGTGGATGGTATAAAACAGAAGTGTGTGCAAAGTGCTATGGAAATGCAGAGGAGAGATTGGCTGCTTATGAAATCATCACATAAGAAGGAACATTTGCCATAGATCTTAGAGAAGAAAGAGGACTTGGCCAAGTCGAGGAAGTAGGTAGGAAAAGGCATTCCTGGCAAAGCAACTAGCATATGCTTGTGGCAGGCATGCCTGGGAGAGCAGGTCAGTGTGGCCCCACTGTCGGGCGCAGGAGCAAGTCCAGCTGCCTGGGGAGGAGGATACAAAGCAGGTGGGTGGCCATACCTGAAGGGCCCTTGACATTCAACCCAATAGTTAGGTTCCCAGTGGGGAGCCTGTGAAGGGGGTAATTTGAGCAGGTCTGTGTTTTGACTGTAGATCCCTTCTTTGATGCCTCATGTAGGCTTCTGGTTTTTAAGGTCAGTTGTTTCTCTTTGTGACCAAAATAAAAACCAGCTGCTTTCCCCATTTTGATCTAATTCAGGGCAGATTCCCTTTTCTCAGCGTCTGAATTCCTCAACTTTAGGTGACCTGAGTGTGGTCAGGAATGTATTGAAAGCAGTTATCCTCTGCTTGTCCTCATCTTTCTTTCAGTCAGTAGATTGCTGCTTTTGGTTCAGTTCACACAGTTGGCCTTTGTGACATTGCCACAAATACCTTGTCTAGGTTTACTGCTCACTCGGCATTTGTTTCATCCTCATGACCAGGAATATGTAAAGGAACCGTGACAGCCATGTCCAGTTTTTTTCCCTGGGGCTGACCTTGATTGCATCACGGAGCTGGCTGTCCCTGACACTGTGGAATAAAAATGAGTCTTCCACCGTAATTTGCGAAAGTTCCTAGAATATGGTTACTTAACGGGCTCACAGAGGCCTGAGGGAACTCTCTGACTAGTTGGGTTGAGCATAACTCTTTCTCCATACAGGCCTGCAGAGATTTCCTCATGTTAGCCCAGACCCATAGTAAAAAGTGGCAGAAGTCCCTTCAGTATGAAAGAGACCAGCGTATCCGGCTGGAAGAGACCCTGGAACAGCTGGCGAAGCAACACAATCACCTGGAGAGGGCCTTCCGGGGGGCCACGGTGCTGCCGGCGAACACCCCTGGCAGCGCTGGTTCTGGAAAAGGTAAGTCGCCTGGCTCTGGGGTGGCCCGTTCACATAGGAGCCAGGTGGTTTTCTGCCACTGATAGCAGACCTGCAGACACTCCAGGATCAGGGGCTTCTGTGCCAGGGAATTGGAGCTGTTTACTTCTCCTGCCGCGTGTTCCTGTGCGGTAGTCGCAGTGGTCAAGATCCTGCTGGGCTGGGTTTTGGTAAATTGAGCCAAAGTAAACGAATGGCCTTCCTTCTCCTTGCAGATCAGTGCTGCTCTGGCAAAGGAGACATGAGTGACGAGGATGATGAGAATGAGTTTTTTGATGCTCCTGAGATCATCACCATGCCCGAAAATTTGGGCCACAAGTAAGTTGTCCTTGACTCCTGCCAAAAAGAACACATCCGGCCATTAGAGTTGAGAAACGTTTCAGTGGGACTGTCGTACTTGTCGGTGTTAACTAAGATCTGGACTCTTTTCCTTAAATGAGTGGAAAACTCTCACCTTTTTTCCATGAGCGAGTTCTCTAGAGATATTTGAATTCATGCATATTCTAATCTAAGTGTTGTCGTTCAGTTACCTGTTACTAACTTCGTGCAGTGTGCTTCGTACTCCACTTTGTAGAGACCTGGCGAGGACCACTCTAGCTGTTGATCCTTGTTCTAATTCCCATATGTTTCCCACCTGTGTAGACGTACTGGCAGCAACATCAGTGGAGCCAGCAGTGACATCAGCCTGGATGAACAGGTGACATTCAGTTGGGAGCCATCGGATGGGAGACCTGGGCGTGATTCTCCGGGATTTGCTTGTAAAGCCCTTGTGAGAAACAGAAAATGCTCATTCTTTTTTAAGATGGGGGAAGGGAAGCATATAAATACCGGGTTTTCTGTTCTTTGTGGGTGATTGAATGGCTTTGTTTTGCCCTTAGTACAAGCATCAGCTGGAAGAGACCAAGAAGGAGAAGAGAACTAGAATACCATACAAGCCAAATTACAGCCTCAATTTATGGAGCATCATGAAGAACTGCATTGGAAAAGAACTCTCGAAGATCCCCATGCCGGTGAGGCTCTTGCACACCTGCGCTCTGCCAGGAGGGCCTCTCGGGCCACAGTGGGAAGAGTGCTCCTGTGACAGCTCCACACACTTGAGAGGCAGTTCGTGTGTGGCGTGGTCTTTGTTACCCTTATCGTCATAAAGTGTCCCTTAAAATTAGCTGCTTTAATGTAGTCTATGGATCTGGTGTGTTTCCACATCACGTCGAAGCAGATGCATTTGTTTAATGACGTTTATGAGCAGATTCCTAAGCTCGACATGCTGGGGGCCTGTACAGATAAATGCGACGTAGTTTTTGTGTTCAAAAAGCATGTAGTTTAAAGGAGGCAGACATGAAAACAGGTAGAAAATTTTAATCTCTACGGTAGTGTTATGGGAAGTACTAGCCATACACAGGCTTGGGGAGCACAGAACAAAGACAGTCCGTTCTGTCTGGGAAGATGACGACCATCTCCATGGTGACGTCGGTGTTTGGGCTGACCTCCCTGCCTCCCTTCCTGCCCTCCAGTCTGTCCACACTATTGCCAAAATGACCTTTTTAAAATCACAAATGTAGTCATGTCACTCCTTAGCCTAAAATCCTTAAGTGAATTCCTTCTTTGCTTTGAGGGTGGTCCAGATTCCTTAGTGGGCCTGACACTTCTTCCTTGGACCAGGCTCCACCCACACTGCTGATCTAGTCTTTCAGAGTTAACGTTCAGGTGTGCTAGAGGCATCTTGGTTTCTTCCCCTCAGGGCATTTGCGCAGACTGCTCTCTCTGCCCAAACTTTCATCAGCTCCCCGTGCAGGCGTGCTGTGGCTAATCGCCTTGAGGATTCAGCTACAACATTATGTCTGTTAGCAAGCTTTCACCCATGCATCCGGACAGGGTGAGAAGGCTCTCCCTTGTGTTCCAACAGGTTCCATTGCTCAGTCATTACACAAGCATTTACTGAGCTGCCTCCTGTCTGCCTGGTGTTATACCCGTGTATCCGTTATGTTTGATTTAGGATCAATTTAAAGAAACAAATTTAAAATCTGTTTGTCTAAACCCTGGGTCAGCAAACTGTGTGGCCATCTATGCAGCCTGCAAGCTAAGAATAGTTTTTATATTTTTAAATATCTCAAAAGAATAAAAAAGAGGATAATATTTCCTGATGTGAAATTTATATAAAATGTAGATGTTAGTGTCCCGTAAGTTTTATTGGAACACAGTGATGCTCGTTCATGCGTGTATTGTCCGTGGCTGCCTTCATCCTACAGCAGCAGTGTTGAGCAGCTGTGACGGGGCCATATGGCAGTGTCATATGGGATAGTAAATAATTCGGTTTTGAGGGCCATATAAATATTTACTATCTAACCTTTTATAGAAAAAGCTGGCCAATCCCTACCTTAAGCAACTACTAGCCTAAGTCATCCTCCTGTTAAAGTCCAGAAGTAGGGGATCCCGGGCTGGTACCCTACTCCACACCATTGGGACCAGGCTTCTTTCTATCCTGTTGCTCTGCTATCTGTGGCCTCAGTTCCTGGGTCTGAAGTGGCTGCTCTTCAGCGTCTCATCCCAGTTAGCAGGAAGAAGGGAAGAGAAGGGTGTGCCCTGCCTGCGAAGAGTACTTCCTGGAAATTGCATGAACTACTTTCACTTTGGTCTCTTTGGCCAGAACTTAGATGGCCACAGGTGGCAGGGAGGACTTCTGCCTTCAGTGGCGTGGCTTACTTAAACACGGGGTGGAGGCGGGGGAGGGGAGGTTTCTATTTCTTGCAGCAGAAGGGAAGAGTGGAGAGTGGGGGTAGCATACAGAAATACGGAAAGTATTCTCCTCCCTTCTTGGGTCTTACGGACCGGTGTGTGGCTTCTGCTTCTCCACAGACTGTGTTCCTCATGGGCAGAGACTGTGTCTTACTGCCTTTCATATCTTTGTTGCTTAGCCAGCGCCTGGCACAGGTATACCAGTTAGCAAATGTCGAAGTCATTAATTAACTGGGTCTTAGAAAACAAATGGATTCATAGGTTAAGTGTGTAGGATTTCTGTTAGGAAAGTGTTGACTTCTGGACAAGAAAAGGCCATGGGTTAACACCCTGGAGACACACAAAATTACTGGTTTACTGGGGGCCTGAAAAGAAGCCTCACTTTTCTGGTGCCTTGCAGAAAGTAGTGGGAGGTGGGCTGGAAAGGCGGGTCACTGCAGCCTCAGAAGTGCAGTTCTTGCTTAGAAATAACTTCTGCGTCTAGGTGACCTCTCTGTCCTTTACCATTAGTTCCTTGTTGACATTGCCACTAGGGGTGTGCAGTCCTGTACCTGTTTGCCAAAGCTCGAGTCCTCGCCCTTTGCCTGCCCTGTGCGGCGTCACAGGAGAGCTGGTTCCTCCAGGCTGTTTCTCAGGTTCTGTGCCTTGGCAGCTGGCTGCGCTCCACCAGTGCAAGGCACCAGTAGGAGTTGGGGGGGAGGGGATTGTGGGGGAGAAGAAGGGAGGGACCCTGGCCATGCATTCTCCTGGGCAGCGCTTTGACGGTGGCTGTGTGGCTCTGGTTTCCGCTGGACGGGCCCCCTGAGACTTCAGCTGCTGCTGGGTGCCTCTGGCCTCTGGGACATGGTTCTACCACTTCTCTTTGTTCCTCCAGCCCCGTGCCCACGGCCTCCTGCTGTTGTGATCTCCAAGTTGTCTAAGTGTCTATCAGCTGTGTAATGAATTCCCTCCTTTCTTCTGCTTTAAATTTGCAGGTTCATTTGTTTTCCTGTTGGGCCTCTGGCTGATAAAATGACCAATATGAAAAGCTGGGCACCTTTAGAGAAACTGTGGTTCCTGGAACAGTGATTGGGGGCCAGGGCTGCGTGTGTGTAGAGAACAGCAAGGGCTTAAGGACGCACTGATTCCAGGCCCAGGATGTGCCCATATGTCTTGTAGCTATCAGTGGAGCTCACTCTTCGTCCCATGCTCCTCAACACACATGGAAGCGTTACTTTGTGTTGCCTGAAGTTCTGCCCATGAGAGATTTTGTCAGCATAGTTTCTAAGTACCTTCTGTAAAAGGACTCCAAGGATTAGAGCTGTGTTAGTCCATTACCCCTCAGTGTGCATTTTTTCTTTTGCTGTTTTTCTCTAAGTGTGTCTCAGCATCAAGAAGATGGTTTTGGAGTGTGGTGCCCTATTTTAGTTGAGGCAGGTTAGATCCTACTGCCCAAAAGAGGAGTGTTTTTTTTTTTTTTTTTTTTTTAAGATTTTATTTTATTATTTATTTGAGAGAGAGGGAGAAGAAGAGGGAGAAACAGACTCCCCACTGGGTGGAGAGCCCAATGCAGGGCTCGATCCCAGGATCCTGAGATTATGACTGGAGCCAAAGGCAGACATTTAACCGACTGAGGCACCCAGCCACCCCCAAAAGGGAAGTGTTCTGTTGTTGGTCCAGTGACTCTTTGTTCACTGGGAAATTTGCACAGAGATGCTGGGTATATTTCTCAGAGAAAAAGTAGGCTGTAGCCTATATTTCATTTTTTAAATGTATACATGCATAGACATAAACATGGCAATATGATGGGTATCTTTGGGTAATGGCATCTCAGGTAGATTTTTTCCTTTTTAAAGTTTGTTGTAGTAAAAGTTACAAGACACTTCACCATTGGGAGGGCAGTAAATATTGGGGTACTATGTGGCTCAGAGGTTGGTGGGTAGGAGGTTGGACAAAAATTCAGAAAAAGAGGTGGGACCACAGGAAAGAGAAGTGTTTTTGTTTGTTTTAACTGAAATATTGCTCTAGGCCAGCTCAATCAATAGAAAGGGAATTGTTTTCCTCCTCCCTCTGTTCTTTGGATTCAGAACTCAGGCTAATGATATGCAGGCTTGTTCAGTGAGATTGCTGTATTGTAAAGCTAAAGTAAGCTTTGTGGGCTATCGTGGAAAGCTAACCTGTTTTTATAGTAATTTTTTGAATAGTAAAGTCATCTTAAATCCCAAACATTCAGCTTAGAAGCTAACTCTTTTTCGGGAGATGGAGAGATAATGTCTCTTTTGTTCACTTCTCTCTCTACCCAGTGGGTAGTATAGGATCTGGCACACATGAGGGCTCAATAAATATTTGTGGACTGCATAAGGGAACAAACGAACAAATGAACATCTCCCCTACAGAAGCACACATAAACTTGCTTCATCCTATGGTTGAGAGCCCTAACTTGGCTCTGAAACTTGAAAGGCAGAAACACTTGAAGCCCCCAGTCAGCCCCGATCATGAGCACTCCTGTCCAGAACACAACTGCCCAGCCTCAGAGACGAAACCAGATCCTGGCCTAATGTAGAACTGAATCCGTAATTAGCAATTGAGGGGTACTTGGGTGGCTTAGTTAAGTGTCTGCGTTTAGCTCAGGTCATGATCCCAGGGTCCTGGGATCAAGGCCTGCATCAGGCTCCTTGCTCAGTGGGAGTGGGCTTCTCTCTCTCCCTCTGCCCCTCCCTCCGCTCCTGCTCACTCTGTCTCACCCCCCCAAAAAAAATCTTAAAAAAAAAATTAGCAATTGTCTCATCCAGGAGTAAGAAGCTACCTTTCGTAATGTTTTCTTTTCACCAGTCAGGACAAGCCTGTACTTAAAATTCACTACCCTTTCTTTTCTTCCTCAAGACTTTTAAATACCTCACTTCATCTCGGAGTATACTTGTGCTAAAATACATTTCTTCTTTTATTCGTTCTTTCTATACCTATTTGATGGTGGTTTCCTGTGGGTGAGGCATCAATGGCTCTCGGATATGCAGGGATGAACAAAGAGGCACGGTTCCCATCTCAGAGAGCTTACAGTCCGTGAAGTAAATGAAAACATTGATTTATACCACTCGTTGACATGGACAGTTGACCAGGGAGGGTGCATCGCTTGTAGGTTAGATCTTAGAGCCAGTCTCCTGAGCAAAGGCCTCTTTTCTTCCCAGTGATTTGCTTTATCATCTTAACAACCTGATATGTCTCCCTACCTGCAAAAACATCCAACTGTCTCTGATAGATGTGTGGGCAAGTTTTTAAATCTGTTCTTTTCCTGACAGGTGAACTTTAATGAGCCCTTATCCATGCTTCAGCGCCTTACGGAAGATCTGGAATACCATGAGCTGTTAGACCGAGCTGCAAAATGTGAGAACTCTCTAGAACAGCTCTGTTATGTTGCAGCTTTCACCGTGTCCTCCTACTCCACTACTGTCTTCCGTACCAGCAAGCCATTCAACCCACTCCTTGGGGAGACTTTCGAGCTGGACCGATTAGAGGAGAATGGGTACCGGTCCCTCTGTGAGCAGGTAAAGGGGCCTCAGGACTGGGACACATTTGCTTTGAAGAAAAGGATCGTTTTGGTTGATACCTCTAGGTGCTACTTTTGCAGAAATTCAGTCCCTGTCATCCCAGGCTGCCTTCTTTTCCTTTAGGGCTTCAACACCGGAGGCCCTGGTATTCACCTACTGTTGTGGGTATACAAATGTCAAGTGTGCGTTTTGGGTCTTTATCACCAGTTCACAGGCAGAATCTTTTCCTTCTCCTCTCCCCTGTCTTAATTTGAACCACTGATTTCTCCAAGGTGAGTCATCATCCCCCTGCTGCTGCACACCATGCCGAGTCCAAAAATGGCTGGACGCTGCGTCAGGAAATCAAAATCACCAGCAAGTTCCGAGGCAAATACCTCTCCATCATGCCCCTCGGTAAGGCTGCCATCTGTGTAAGAAGGAAAGATTTTCTGGCTGGAAAGAAGTGGTCACTGCTTTGACAGGAGACTAGAAGTCTGATTTGGGTACTGAACCTTAACTTGCCAGCTCTGGGCAGGTCATTTCACTTCTCAGCTGTCAAATGAGTGAGGAGGCATGAGATTCTTTAAGGGTCCGTCCAGTCATCAATGCTTCTTAGTTATATCTAATCTTTAAGTATCATTTTAGAATATAAAATCTGGCATGCTTAAAACTCTTTCTCTTAACCAGTGTTGTTGCCCCCACTACTCTAGCAATCAGCTTCACTCCATAAATCACAACTCCTGTGACTGCAAGGTTAGATTTCTTGGGTGGTCCCTTCCCTTTTTGTATCCTTTCTCCCCTCTCTCTTCCACCACTGGAAAGGTGAGGTATCATTTAGGTAATGGCTAAACTCCAGGTAAGAGGAAACTTCATTTAAAAGATCTTACTGGATTACAAGTTAATTGTGCACCAACATAAAAAAGATCAGGCCTGGGAATAGGAATCCTAATATGCAGTATTAGCGAGTCTGTACTTGAGGGGAAATGAGGTTACAAAGTGTCGTAGTGATTCTCCAGGTTCTCTTGAACCAGAGCAGCCACATTTGGCTGTGCGTGTCCAGAAGAGTGGATGCTGAAAAAGATACAGAGCAGACAGAGAGAAAGCCAAGTAGCTGCTTAGAGACAGAGCGGTCAGTAACTGCCTGAGCTCCTGGTGGCCTTCCATTTCCTGGTTCTAGTCTGTCCTGAGGTGTGGCCTTAGTGCTGGGTTAGAGTCATCTTCTTTAGTAAATTCCCCTTTCCTCTCAGAAATACAAAATGTAGGGGCGCCTGGGTGGCTCAGTGGGTTAAAGCCTCTGCCTTCGGCTCAGGTCATGATCCCAGAGTCCTGGGATCGAGCCCCACATCGGGCTCTCTGCTCAGCGGGGAGCCTGCTTCCTCCTCTCTCTCTCTGCCTGCCTCTCTGCCTTCTTGTGTTCTATCTGTCAAATGAATAAATAAAATCTTAAAAAAAAAATACAAAATGTAGTAGGTATAGAAATGAGAAAGTGTCTAGAAAATAAAAATTAGCCAGAAGACAAGTGCAGGAATGTTTGTAATATATTAAAAGGAGAAAAGAAACGGGAGTGTTAGCTCTACCGCCTCATGGCTAATAGGCAAAAGACTCTTAGATGAAAAGGTCAGTGAGTGGTTTTGGTCTTGATGTTTACTGAGGACCTTAGAAAAGGTCTTCAGTAAAAAAGGTTGCTAACTGTCTTTGATGCTAACAATTTCAGAAGTATCTGGTGAAGAGCAGTTAAGCTTGGGGTGTTCTAACCTGATGTGCAGAACTAGGATGTCACTGGTCATATTGCAATATGACTTTTGCCCATGGAGAAGTTGGAGGCCCCCTGAGGATCTCCAAAGGGATGGGTTATTTTTAACTCTAAGGAGGGTTGTATACATTTTAAAAGTAGCAATAGGGGTGCCTGGGTAGCTCAGTTGTTAAGCATCTGCCTTCACTCAGGTCCTGGGTTTGAACCTGTGTAGAGCTCCCTGCTCAGTGGGGAGCCTCCTTTTCTCTCTCCCTCTGTAGCTCCCCCTGCTTGTTCTCTCTCTGACAAATAAATAAATCTTTAAAAATCTTTAAAAAGAAAAGAGTCAAATTTATGTACATAGTATTTATTTACTTGTTTTAAGATTTTTATTTTTAAGTAATAATTTAATAAATAATTTTCTCTACACCCAGTGTGGGGCTCAACCTCACACCCGGAGATCAAGAGCTACATGCTCCACCAACTGAGCCAGCTGGGGCCCTAAAAAGACACATTTAAATGGGTGTTATTTTATAGCGTTGGCGCTCTCTAACCCAAGGAGAATCACGATTAGGGAATATGAATGAAACAACCAGTCATCCTGTTAATCTCTGTGTCATTGACACTACAGGGCTCCGTGAATCTTGAATTTTGCTCCCAAGTGTCATTTTAGTAAAAAAAAATGTCTCCTTATATATTTTATTCATTCTTGCAGTTTCTACTTTTTGACTAGAGTGATTACTTATAATAAATTACTGATTAGGTAGGACTTAACATCTGCCATTTTTTTTTTGAGTTTTTTGTTTTTGTTTTCTGTATATCTTCTTTTTTTGTTCCTGTCTTCCTCTATTAGTTCCTTCTTTTGTGTTAAATTAGATATTTTTCTAATTTACCATTTTAATCCTGTTATTTCTTTTACTATATTTTTAAAGGTATTTTTGTAGTGGTTATCCTGGATAGTATAGTTAACATCTAAGTATCTTGTTCAGATTAATACTAATTTAATTTCAATAGACACAAAAACTTTGCAACTATATAGATCCAGTACTTTTTCCTCCTTTGTGTTTTTATTTTTATGTAAATTATTTTATACATTATAATCCCATCAGCATAGTTTTATGACTTGATTTATAGGTGTGTCTTTTAAATCATACAGCAGAAAAAAAGTTGCAAGCAAAAAATACATTTATACTGTTATTTTTTTTTTTTAAAGATTTTATTTATTTATTTGACAGACAGAGATCACAAGTAGGCAGAGAAGCAGGCAGAGAGAGAGGAGGAAGCACGCTCCCTGCTGAGCAGAGAGCCGGATGCGGGGCTTGATCCCAGGACCTGGGATCATGACCCAAGCCGAAGGCAGAGGCTTTAACCCACTGAGCCACCCAGGCGCCCCTATATTGTTATTTTTTTTAATACTGTAATTATCGTTACCTTTCTTGGTCTCTTCTTCATTTTTTTTAAGATTTTATTTATTTGAGAGAGCGAGAAAGAGAGAGTGGGCATGGGGAGGGGAAGGGGCAGAGAGAGAAGCAGACTCCATGCTGAGTAGGGAGCCCAATGCAGGGTTCAATGCTAGGACCTGTGGATCATGACCTAAGCCGAAGGCAGATACTTAACTAAGCCAGGTGCCCCTTACCGGTCTCTTCTTAATGGAGATTTAAGTTGCTGTCCAGTATCTTTTCAATTCAGCCTAAAAGACTTCCTTTAGTATATGTCTTGAAGGGAAGATCTGCTAGCTATGAATTCTTTAAGTTTTTGTTTGTCTGAATGTCTTAAATTTTTTGTTTATGAAGGATAGTTTTGCTGGCTGTAGAATTCTTGCTTTGATAAATTTTTTTCTTTCAGCATTATTGGATATGCCATCCTGCTGCCTTCTGGCCTCTGAAGTTTCTAATAATCTTATTGAGGATCATGTAAATGTGATGAATCACTTCTGTCTTAGTGTTTTCCAGATTCTTGCTTTGCCGTTCAGCAGTTTGATTATGATGTGTTCTGGCGTGGCGCTCTTTGAGTTTATTCTGTTGGAGTTCAGTGATTATGTAGATTGATGTTTTTCATCGATTTGGAATTTGGGGCCATTATTTATTTATTAACTGCTCCAGTTGTGGGGTATTTTTTGTTTGTTGTTTGTTTGTTTTGTTTTGTTTTAGAGAGAGCAACCAGGGAAGGGACAGAGGGAAAGGGGCAGAGAGGATCTCGAGTAGGCTCCATGCTCAGTGTGGAGCCCAGTGCAGGGCTCGATCTCACGACCAGAGATCATGACCTGAGCCAAAACCATAAGTCAGATGCTCAACCAACTGAACCACCCTGGGGCCCCCTTAACTGCTCCAATTGTGAACACCACCGCAGGCGGCTACTGTGTTAAATAATTCTTACTGGCTGTTCTGTCACGCCTGGGAAAAGGCTGCGTGAGGTGAGCAGGTGCTGAGTCAGGTGAGATAAGGAGAAGCCCTTATGCAGGAACCACCAGACAGGTCAGGTAGTGACCGTTCCTTGGAGATTGAACTTCTGGGGAGCTTCAAACAGTCTGCTTCCTCCAGTGGTTGCTAGGCTGCTTGCGGGTTTTCATCTCTACCGTGACTGTGAGGCTGCTGTTTTTCAAGGCTACTGCCAAGCTGGGGAGAGGAGGATGGAAGTAGGGCAAGTTAAAATGCCACAAAGCTCATTTTTCTTACTAGAATTCTGAAAAAGTTGATTTGGTTAGTTTTTGCCTAGTGTTCTTAACTCATTTTATGGAGGAACAGATATATAAAGTCCTTACGTGAGCATTCTGAAGTGCCTATCTTCCTTTTCATATATTTTAAGCACTTCAATTTTTAGATCTTTATCTCACTGTCAAGTCTCTGAGACACAAATATTATATAAAGGAAGGCAGTCATAGGGCTTTCTTTGTTTTTCCACTATCCCTGGGAGCTGGAAAGGACACTTTACAGAAAAACAGGTGCATCAGCAGGATGGGACATAAGGTTACGGTATTGGGGAGTACAGATATATTCTGAACTTATTTTGAACTTCAGCTCTGGCCCTTACTAGCTGTGTGACCTTGGGGAAAATTACCTCTCTGAGCTCAGAGCCTTTGTTGATAAAAGGGGGATGTGGTAGGCTAAATAATGCCCCCCCCCAAAAAAATAATGTCCACATCATAATCCCTGGAACTTGTGAATATCTCCTTCTCATCGTGAAAGGAACTTTGTAGGTGTGGTTAAATTAAAGATCTTGAGACGGGGAGGTAATTCTGGATTATTTCTATAGGCTCAGTACAGTCACAAAGGTTTTTCTGAGAGGGAGGCTGGAGAATCAGAGGCAGTGATGACAGAGGCAAGAGTGATGTTGGGAAGAGACCACAGGCCGGAGAATGCAGGTGGCCTCTGGTAGCTGGAAAAGGCAAGGAATGGATCTCCTGTAGGGCCTTTGGAGGGAACACAGCCTTCTGATGCCTTGATTTTAGATTTCTGACTTCCAGCCATGTAACAGTCTTAACAACCGTGTTGTTGTAAGCTGTAACGTTTGTGGCAGTTGGTTCCAGCAGCAATAGAAACAAATACAGGGGATAACAATGCCCATAACTGAGGTGTCAGCAGGTATTTGCATGCCCACTGTATGCTGGAAACTGTTCTCGGTGCTGTGGGTATGTAATGGAGGGCAAAAGCCACTTTGCCCTCACTTAGCTTGCATTCTTTTTTTTCCTTTTCTTTTCTCTGTTTTTTTTTTTTTAGAGAAAAAGAGAGTGTGGTGAGTGGGAGGTGGGAAGGACAGAAGCAGGGGAGAGAGAATTTCAAGCAGACTCCATACCCAGCACAGAGCCCGACGTGGGGCTCAATCCCAAGACCTGAGCCAAAATCAAGAGCCTGTTGCTTAACCAACTGAGCCACCTAGATACCCCAGCTTGTATTCTTTTCTTAAGCAGACAAAAAAGTAAACAAACACCGAAATTATAATTATTGTCAGTAATTATTTAATTTTATATGGTAGTGATTCTATGAAGAAATAGAGCAAGGAGAGATGGGGGTGAGTGGCAAGAGAAAGGAGTGGAGTGTGTTTGTGGTTCCTTGGACAAGATCACCAAGGAAGTTCTCTCTGAAGAGGTTACATTTGAGCAGAGACCTATCTAATAAAAAGAAGCCAACCAGAAGAAGATCTGGAGAAGAGTGTCCCAGCAGAGAGAACCCCTTTAAGATAAAGGCCCTTGAGAGGGGGGCAAGCACAGCACACCCAAGAAGCACAAAGGCCACAGCAGCTTCCCAGAGCAATCCAAGCAGTTGGCAGGGGCCAGATCTTGTAGGGATTTTGTACACCAGGGAAAGGAGTTGAGTTTTGTTTTCATTGCAGTGGGAAGAAATGGAGAGATTTTATACAGTGTGGTGCGTTGACTTGACATGTTTTAAACGGATCGCTTTGACCAGAGACTCAAAGGTGACTATGGTAGAAGCTGGGACCAAAACAGAGTTGTTAGCTTCAGGCAAGGGATGATGGTGGCTGTATTATTTTAAGTTTTTTAAATTTATCTATTTGTCAGAGAGAGAGAGCGAGTGAACAAGCACAAGCAGGGGGAGCAGCAGGCAGAGAGAGAAGCAGGCTCCCCACCGAGCAGGGAGTCTGACATGGGACTAGATCCCAGGACTCTGGGATCTTGACCTGAGCCGAAGGCAAACGCTTAACAACTGAGCCAGCCAGGGTCCCTGATGGTGGTTTTAGACAGCAGTGGTGGTGGAAGAGGTACTGAGCAGGAAACTGAGCATATGTTTAGGTGGCACAGATATTTGAAAGGTAGTTGTGAAGATTAAATAAGCTAATATTTGAGGAGAGCATAGCCCAGTGCCTGGGACGCAGGAGATGCTGGCAGCAGGGCAGCTGCCGTTGCCCATGGTGTCATTGTCATCACTGCTGCTGCAGCCATCAGGGCTGTTTTTTTTGTGTTTTTGTTGTTGTTGTTGTTTTTATAAACATATAATATATTTTTATCCCCAGGGGTACAGGTCTGTGAATCGCCAGGTTTACACACTTCACAGCACTCACCATAGCACATACCCTCCCCAATGTCCATAACCCCACCCCCACCTCCCAACCCCCCTCCCCCCATCAACCCTCAGTTTGTTTCGTGAGATTAAGAGTCACTTATGGTTTGTCTCCCTCCCAATCCCATCTTGTTTCATCAGGGCTGTTTTAATCTCTTATACGAGAAAGAAAGACACATAATTAGTCTTCTGTGCATCAGTGGTTACAGAGGGAGCTTAGACTTACACTGGTCCTGTAACTGTATTAGTCAATATGTATATAAAGATATACACATAGGGGCACCCGGGTGGCTCTCTTAGTTACGCATCTGACTCTTGATTTCGACTCAGGTCATGATCTCAGGGTCCTGAGCTCAAGCCCCGTGTCGGGCTCCACGCTCAGTGAGGAGTCTGCTTGAGATTCACTCTCCCTCTGCCCCCACACCTCCACTTGTACACATGCGTGCACATACTCTCGCTCTCACTCTCTCTCAAATAAAGAAATAAAATCTTTTTAAAAAGATACACATATATGTATAGTTCTTGTATATACTTATAAGTTCTTAATTATTTTGGATCTCTAGTCACTTCTGTTCACCTCATTTTTTGGTTTGGTATGCGAAATGAACTCAGAGGGACAAGAGAAGATTGTATCTCCTGAGTGCCCATCACGTTTCAAGCATTTTACTGGGCAAATAAACAGTATTTACTGTACAACAAGTTGTGCTTATTCCAAGTCTACGGATGACAAAGCTGAGGCCAAGGAAAATTACAAATAATGCAGGATATATTACTCTAATGCAGTTCTTTGCTAACCACTCAGATTCAAGCACACCCCATAAGTCAAGGGCACAGGCTCCAGCAAGACTGTCCTCACCACAGGGGCCAGCCACAAGTTTGGGGGTCCCCAGGCCCTCTGTACTTCTGACCAACTGGCTTTCCTTTCGGCAGTTTGCTAGGATGATTCATAGAACCCAGGAGAGAACTATCCTCACTATCATAGTTTCATTATAAAGGATACAAATCAGGACTGGCCAAATGGAGAGACACATAGGGCAAGGTCTGCAAGTATCCTGAGCCTAGAGTTTCCATGCCTTCACCCATGGAATTAGCGCCCATAATCCTCCTGGCACATTGATACGTTCACAAACCAGGAAGCCACAGCAAGCTCCACTGTCCAGAGATTTTACTAGGGTTTCATTAGGTGGGCACGATTGAACTATCGGCCCCATGACTACACTCAATACCCAGGCCTCCTTCCCTCCCTGGAGGGAAGGGAATACCATTCCCAAGAGGTCAGGAAGTCCATCTGATAGCAAGTGATTCAAGGCCCCAAGTCTCTAACACATAGTTGATTTTTCTGGCCTGGCTCATCCTGAGCATAAGCCATCCAGAGGCCCACCATGTTACTCCACTGACATAACTCTTACGGTGCCATGAATAACAAGGATACTACTATCACTTGGGAAGATCCAGGGGTTTAGAGGTTCCCTCCCAGGAACCATTTTCAGAGTCAGGCAAATTCTTTATTATACAGCCTGGGGTCACACCTCTAATGAGTGCTGGATCTGGGATTCAGTCCATTTCTGCCTGATTCCAAAGCCCCTGCTCTATCCACTACTCCATAACTGTTAAGGCCCTTAGAAAAGTGGTTTTCTTCAGGTCACACAGCTAGTTACTGACAAGAGGGCCTGGCCCCCAGGCCTGACTACCCATGTGTGCTCCTTTCCGCAATTCACTTTTATTTTTTCATGTTGGGGCAGATTTGACCTGTTCTTGTACATTTTACGACTTGTGTGGCAGGCACAGTTGGTGAAAAGTTTGGAGCTTTTGCTTTCATTTCTATTTCTACAATTGCAGAATATTGCTTCCTAGCTACACACTATCAGTTGTCAGTGTTGGTCATCATTTAGTTATAGTTCATTCATAAATTTAAAAATGAAGTGAAAAAATTCAATCATTGCTTCCAACATTTAAGAAGATTATAAAGCCCTTTTGGTTTATTGTTTTCCTTTTAAAAGTAAGAAATGTTAATAGAAGAAAATCAATCCATTGTTACTTGTAGCTAACATGGTGGTATTATTCTGATACTTGTCTTAATTTGTGTACCTCTCTCTGTTTCCAGGTAGCATCCACTGTATTTTCCATGCAACTGGGCACCACTATACTTGGAAGAAGGTTACCACAACGGTGCACAACATTATTGTGGGCAAGTTGTGGATAGATCAGGTAAGCAGAGGTGCCCAAAGTGTTCTGAAGTTCAGGAGAATACCTTCGTAGGTACATCTGTGCAGTATCAAGGACATGTGAACTGACGCCACACTGTTGTTACTGATTTATCCGTTTCTCCTAAGGAATTGCTCTCAGCCAGAAGCCCCACCCCGACCTCCCAAGTTTCTATACCCCAGATTATTTCTTATGAATGACGAATTTATAACATTCATTCTGTAACTACTCTACCAGGACTGTGTTAGCTACTATGAACGTACAACAAAATAATAAACACGACTCTTACTCTTCATCCTTTCATTATTTATCAGACATGACTGCTAGACAGAGGGCTAGGTCTTAGGGATACAAAGCCAGATAAGACATTGTCCTTCAAAGAGTTATTGTATCATTGGTGACAACATGACAAATAGGTATAATTGAAAAGTGTTAACAAAATATGCTATTGTTAAGAGCTGTACTAAGGGGTCACCTGGGTGGCTCAGTGGATTAAAGCCTCTGCCTTAGGCTTGGGTTGTGATCCTAGGGTCCTGGGATTGAGCCCCGCATCGGGCTCTCTGCTCCGCGGGGAGCTGCTTCCTTCTCTCTCTCTGCCTGCCTCTCTACCTACTTGTGATATCTCTTTCTCTGTCAAATAAATAAATAAAATCTTAAAAAAAAAAAAAGCAGTACTAAGATAACATCTAAATAATTGTCAGTCTACTCTTAAGATGATGGTTGCAATAAATTCAGAAAAGAAAGGGAATACTCTCTAGCAGTCAGGAAAGCCTACACGGTAGATGTGGGAATTAAGCAGAGGTTTTGTTGTTGCTGTTGTTTTGTTTCATTTTAGATTTTATTTATTTTAGAGAGGTGGGGGCAAGCAAGGGGGAGGGGCAGAGAGAGAGAAGGGGGGTAGAGAGAATCTCAAGCAGATTCCACACTAAGCACAGAGCCCAATGCAGGGCTTTGATCTCACGGCCCTGAGATCATGACTTAAGCTGAAACCAAGAGTTAGTTAACTGATTGAGCCACCCAGGCGCCCCAAGCTGAGTCTCAAAGTGGTTTGGGATTTAGAAGATAGAGGAGAAAATAAAGTGTAGAAAGGCCTGTTATATGTAACCTTGTAATTATGAGTAGGGTACTTTGACTTAACCACAGAGTTCATGAAGGGTATGAGTGGGGGCTTGGTTGGGAAAGGTAAATTATTATGTGAATATCAGTATATGTGCTGAAAGGCAAATCTTGCCACCTAACATGGGACACATGATTGACAGAAAACCAGAAGGCCATTTGATCTTGATCCCAATCTGGAATACCAAGGTTCCGAAGGGATTTCACAGCTTGTTGGGGTCGGCTGAGACTGGAATCCTTAAGCAAGGGAGTCTGAAAGTATACGATGGAAAAGTGAAGAATTATGAGGCGTGGGGTCTGGCAGATATTCAAGTCCTCCGGTCTTAATAAAATCAATCCATGATGCTTTTTATTTTATAGTCTGGTGAAATTGATATTGTGAATCACAAGACGGGAGACAAGTGCAATCTTAAATTTGTTCCTTATAGCTACTTCTCTCGTGATGTAGCAAGAAAGGTAAGAGAAGTTGGAGTTTAAATGTTTTTCTTTAGTGTGTGTCTCTTAGAAAGCCTACTCTTTGGGGGCTGGTATAGATGATGGATCAGGAGATAGTCTAAACATATGTATCTCCTAAATATGTATGTGGTGATTTAAAAAAAAAGGCGACGTAAAGGAGAAAGTCCGCAGGAAGGGGGACTAGATTGCATTACCAAACCAAATTGTCTTTTCTGGTAAAGACATTAAATAAGAAAGTAAAAGTCAAGAGCGAGGAGAGATTGAAAATGGGAAACACAGAGGAAGGACCAATAGAAGGATTTCAGGAAGAAGGATGGGCAGTTTGACTGCTGTGAGGTCTAAGCACGAGTCCTGTGTCAACACCATAGCGGAATTGCGCCATGAGTTTGATGGAGAGTAAAGAAGAGCTGGGGAGTTAAATCTCTTTGTGGCTGTCTCTGAAGAAAGAAGAAAATACCAGAGAGAAGAGAAAACCATAGAAAGAAGAAAATACCATAATTCTGAGTACCATTCAGATCCTTTTCCTGCATATATCATTGCAACGAAAATCCCTATACAGCAAAATGATGAAACCCCAACTCATGGCTCATTTATTTTAAGCAGCTCAAAAAAGTTTACCAAAACAATTTTGGTGTTCCATGGTGTTTGTCATAGCAGAATTTAACCAGTATTGACCATAGGACCTTTGTTTCCAGAATAGTCAGGTAAGCTAACCCACAGTGAATGCTGTACTCCAAAGCCCTACTCTCCATCATTGTAGGTAACAGGGGAAGTGACAGATCCATCAGGAAAAGTTCACTTTGCCCTTCTGGGGACATGGGATGAGAAAATGGATTGTTTCAAAGTGCAACCAGTCATTGGGGAAAATGGGGGTGATGCTCGGCAGAGAGGCCATGAGGCAGAAGAAAGCAGGGTCATGCTATGGAAAAGGAACCCTTTACCGTGAGTATCAGTATGCATGCTGTCCAGGTAATAACTTCGACCTCCAGCTTGGAGCAGTACTGATGGCATTTCTGCCTGCCTTCCCACTTAATTATGTGAGGGATCAAGCCAGGGAAATAAGAACCTTTGGAGAGATTACCAGAAGGCCATCACCATATGATTTGGGTTGTAATGGGCCTTGTCAAGAAAATTGAAAATAACCAAGTCACATCTGCCAAAAAATATTCATAATTTAGAGCAAAATGACTCAGAAGCAGCTAGAGGAGAAAGATGCTTACCACCTGTTAGCAATTTAGCCCGAGACCCAGTGGCATACACTGGTCATACACTGGAATTCAGAAAGAAGATGGAGGCCATTTGTCTCCTGTCATCTCCTATGTTCAGTCTATAGTAAGTGCCAAGATTATCCCAGAAGGAGGTTACAAAGAAAGCAAAGGAAATAAGAATAAGGCATTTTCATTCAGTAGAAGGTTTCATTTTTCCTAAGGCATTTCTTCCTAATCTCCGCTGAGCACAGCACAAGCCCAGCAAACTCCTGTAGCAAGTGATGCCCAGGCAGGGGATGGGGATGGTCCAGTCTGGTTCTCTGCTGCACGAGGGGAACCTGCCACTGTCCTAGAGTCTGTCCATCTGTAGAACAGCTTTGAGGAGGCTGTCTTTTGGCAGGGTGCTCGGTTGTTGCTCCTTAACAAGGGCCTGGGCTCTGGCGTCACCCTTCATCTTTCTCATTCTTGATTTGTAGGAAGAATGCGGAAAACATGTACTACTTCTCAGAGCTTGCTCTGACGCTCAACGCCTGGGAAAGCGGCACCGCCCCCACAGACAGCCGATTGCGGCCTGACCAGAGACTGATGGAAAATGGGCGCTGGGATGAAGCCAATGCTGAGAAGCAGCGCCTGGAGGAAAAGCAAAGACTTTCCAGAAAGAAGAGAGAAGCAGAAGCTATGAAAGCCACAGAGGATGGTAACGAACCCGTCTTCCACTCTCTCGATGGGTGGAGAATCATTTGGTGTGTTTCTGGCTCTCAATCTGTTTTTCTTTACCTGCTTTCCCTTTTAGGCACACCCTATGATCCCTATAAGGCGCTGTGGTTTGAGCGGAAGAAGGACCCTGTTACCAAGGAGCTAACCCATATTTATAGGGGAGGATACTGGGAGTGTAAAGAAAAACAGGACTGGACCTCATGCCCGGACATTTTCTGAAGTGGCAGCAACGAGAAAGAGGAGGATCCAAAGGAGAAGAGGACAGAGGATGTGCGGGAAAGCTGGCGTTTGGGACTCTGACCGATCGCCTTCTTCCAGTTTGTCTGTCTTAACCAATCATTTTGTCCAAATCAATCACCAGAAGCAGACACCAGTGGTGGTGATTGGCTGGTTGCCTTAGCTGATTGAAACTGAAATCGACTTACTAGGTACCTGTGTGTGTGAGGGGGAGGCTTAGTGGCCGGAGTGGGGCACTGCTCCACTTCTGCAGTCAGGCGTTCTGGCTTGTCCTCCTCCCTCTGCCCCCACTTTAGGATGACGTCATTCACCCTTCCCTGTAGCATCCTGCTCAGCCAAGGTCTGCATGAGGTGATGATTCGGGGGCATTTTGGTGCTGTTCAGAGCGAGAGCTGAATTTAGAAGCTCCTTGAAAGGAGCACGTAAGACTTAACCAATGGAGGCATCGTGAATGACCGCGGTGGAGCTTAGGCATGGCGTCACGAGATGGGGTCCCTCACGGGGTCAGTCTCATGGGCCATCCGCCCTGAGATAACTACAGTATCAGAACAATTGCAGGGGGACTTGTCCTGTAAGATTGGAACACTCAGACTGACATTTCTTGGAAGTTTCTATCTTCATTTGTGTAACCTACCCTTCTGCTGTCCTCTATCTTTGACAGCAACCGGAGGCCACTTTGGGGGTTGGTAGGAGGGTTGTATTGTCCTCACAAGGGAGTTTATGGACTTCCTCACACGGGGAACTTGTGAGAACACAACGCAGGGTGGAAAAGACTGCCAGCCACTTTGCTTTCCCAGTTCCTCCTCACCCCCATTCTTCATTGCCTTTTTTGCTCCTCCCTCCCTCCCACCCTCCCTCCCTCTCTCTCTCTCTCTTCCCTCCTCTCTCTCTCTCTCTCAGCGCAATACCAGTTTGGGTCTGTGCCCCAGTGTGGAGCAGAGCATTACCTGTCCCACTCTGGTATGTTTCAGAATTTGAGAGAAGGAGTTAATTTGAAACAAAAGTTTTCACCATCTCTCAAGCCCCATGGACTGGAGCCACCTCTTGAATAATGTGTTAAATATCTGTATATTATATATATGTAGAGAAAAATCTAATTTTTTTGTTTGATTTTCCTTCTTCCCATTAAGAATCTTGTTTTTTGATATCCTTTATCTCCCTGGGACTCTCTCTTGGACACACTGATGTGGAATGGAGTCTCCTCTGTTTTCCCTCTTTTAGGGACAGACAGACTCAGACCCTGAGCAGGATCACCTCCGGCAGTTACTGAACAAGGGATTCGATCCCGGGTCTGTATCACGGAGTGCCCACTGCTGTCCAAGTTCTGCTCTCCTAATGACCTGAGTCTTGAAAATGAAATCCCAACTCTTTCCTGCCTTTTTCTCTTCTTTTGTTAGGAAGAGCATGGGTAGAGAGGACGGTAGTTTCCAGTTTAATTCTGCCTCTGCCCAAATCCCACCACACACAGCTGATTCCCAAAAGACACTTCTTCCTAGGACGTGGGGCTGAACGTGCTATCACGTGGGGTGGGTAAGAGAACTACTCCTGTCGGGCCCTGGCTTCCTTCGTTTTGTGTTCTGTATTTGTTTCAGTTGTCTTGTTCAGGAATCCACCCCTGTGCAGCCCACCCTTGGTTGAGGATCACAAATTGAGGTGCCTTCCTTGTATGCTTTCTGTTCGTGTTTTTCGTTTCTGTTCCTTAACTGCTGAGCCTCAGCCAGTGTGGGTCCTGGGGGAAATACCATTCCAGAGGAAGCCATCCCTGCATGGAAATTGGATTTATACTGGGTAAATTAGTACTTCTATTCCTTCCTCGCCATTCCTCCCTTCCTAGCTGTGAGGCACTTGAGAGACGGGCAACCACTGCGGAGTTTCCTCCTAAGACCCCGACTCCCAAGCTAAGCTTGGGATTGTGCTGGGGCTTCTTTCAAGGAGGCCCGCTAAGGCCGTGACCTTTTGGGGGGTTTTAGCCAGAACAGGAATTCCTCAACCAAACTGAACGTCTCTGCGTTATCCCCCACCTTTCTTCTTCCACCATCTGCACTACATTTCCCAGCCTGATCCCCAGTCCGATTCCTGCTAATGGAGAAGCTCTGAGTCCTTCAGGTGAAATGAAGTCACATCAAGACAAAACTATATATATTTTCGTTTTTTTTGCCTTATTGTTTTTTTTTCCAAGAAAACTACTAAATTAAATAATTTTTAAAAAGTCATATCGTTTGTCTGATTCGCTTGACTCCTACTAGATAACAAGTTGGTGGGGGGGGGCGGCGGCTGGAGAACAGGCCAGGTGCCGGTTTGTTCTTGGGAATCAGGCAGCGGATCTTTGTGAGCAGTTGAAAGAAAAATGGGGCGCGGGTTTCCAGATGTCTCAACCGTTCGACAACATTCTCAAGGGCCTGTGGACAGAAGAGTAGTTTTAACAGCCCTTTCCGCTTTAATGGAATGTAACCATCAGTGGCCCCCACCCTTGGTATAGGGGAATGGTTTCTAGTGTTTTTGATGTTTGACCTATTTCACTTCAAAAAACAAAAGTTTTCTTGAATTTCATTTTTCTTGCCCATTTAGATTTTCAGATTCTTAGCTGTTCCATGGAGGGATTAAAATTCTGTACTTTGAAACATAAGCAATTGAGTACTGATTTGAAGGCCTTGGGAGAGAATTAAGGACTGGGAAGATGGTTGGTCAGTTTTTCTCTATAAAGTTCAGGGAGAGGGTCAGGGTGGGCAAAGGAATCAAAGGGGCCCAGAGAGGCTGCACACAGGTCCTGCCCTGTGGCTGAGCATCTGCTTCTGTATCCAGCATGCTGTTAGGAATTCTGAACATTGTCCAGCTTACACTTGAACAATTTTAAGAGCTAAGTGTTAGAATCGTCATGTGAGGTACAGAGAAGGCATGGGGGAAAAAAAACCCTAATTTAAATAAATTCACTAAGGTTACACAGCTGATTGGTTAGTCACGGTGTTGGAATTCAAAGCTGGGTTTGTTTGACCCCCAAGTCTGTGACCCCTACAACCTCGTGTTCTAGGAGAAGCTGGGTTGGAAGGCAGCTGACAGTGAAGTCATTTCCTCCTCACATCATGCAGTAATGCACACTTCTGTTTCCAGAGGCTTAGTGATGTGGGTAGCGCCACTTTGGAGGTGCGCCTGAAGGAAGGAGCATCCTTGAAGTCCAGCCTCCAGATGCCTTGATTTCTCAGGGCTATCATGTCCACAAAATTAGCTATGTTGCCAGAGGTGATTTTCCTAGCCTGGTTCTTGGGAAGGCCACGCATCCGTTCAAGTCATTTGCCTGATTCACATTGCTGGGCTTGATGGTAAGTTTCAGGACCTTAAGGGCTTTTTTTCTAGCAAGCTAAAAATCATTGCAGTAGACACCTGCTGTTTGTGACAGTTATATCTGGCTACCTTGAATAGCCCTGTGCCTTATAACTTCCTCCAATAGGGGCAGTCAAATGTACCCGAGACATTTTAACAATCCCTTCTTTAGTCCTTCCATGGGCTGCTATGACCTGATGGGATGTGATGTGGATCCCCAAGGGCCTACCACACTCACTCATGATTCAAAATGAGGACCCAGCAAAATTATAACACTTGTCAGGGACCTCTGAAGTCCCACAAAAATGGCAAACCTTTAAATTTCAAGGCCTATTCTACTTTTGGCAAGATAAGTGAAAACCAGCCCCAAAAGGAGATGTAGAAATCTTTGGAAGTTATTCACTATAAAGTAGATACACTGTGAAACTAAGACAGTCATCAAAATGTAGAGCTTGCTTCTAAAAGTTACAAAGTTTTTGCCCCGTGGGATCTGTCCTGCCCTGTGGGAAGCATTTCAAGCCTCTCACGGCTTTTCCTTCCAAGTTCAGACAATAATGTTAGTATAGTCTCCTCAGGCCTTCCTCCCGCCTAGCTTTTTGGTTCACACGGACACCTCAGGGGAAGGAAGCAGGGTGGCCTCAGGAGTTGTGTTTAAAGTCAAGAACTAGAAAGCTCGAATCCTCTATAAATAGCTTTGCAGAGATCATACTTGAATTTAACCAGGTGATTTTAAAAGTTAGTAAAGAATCAGTTGGGCCTGAGATATGGCTTTCTCTCTCTCTTTTCTTCCCTCTGTCTCCCTCTCTCTTTCCTTTCTCTCTCTTTGAACATTGATTCCAGTCTGTTATGTAACATACATTAGGGTTACAAATGACAAGAAAGAGCTCTGATAAATAGGCAATTACAGTCTGGTTTGATAAATGGTGTAAAAGCACTGGAGAGGGCCACCAGCCTATTAATGGGAGTACGAGAGGAATGGGATAGAGGCATGTCCAAGAAGGAGTCTGGAACTAGGAGAATGTATCCGCTTTGGGAGCTGCAGGCTTAATAGGGGTTAGGGAAGAGCAGTGTATAGAAAGCAGTATGGACAAAGATGAAGAAGAGCAAAGTCTGGGAAAGCATCCTGAGTTTGGACGGCTGCATGAATGGCTAGAGTTCAGAGTCCAGGAGGAAGCAATGATAACGGTGCTGGAGAGAGGAAGGACCCAAGTTCTGGAAGTCTGTATACCATATAAAGAGAGAAATTTTGGGTTTTGAAACATGGCAGATGAGATGGACCAGCAACAAAAACCAACACCGTAGTAGAGCCCCTGGAGGTCATCAGGCTCAGCCCTGATGAGCGAATTTAAGTGAAAGTGAGAAATGACAGAGAACTTCAAGGCAGATTACATGCTTATCATCAGCATTTAAATATGATATTGAGAGATATGGAAGAAACTGCGACTACTATAGAAATTGATAAGGAAACATACAAAGAGATATATAAATTAACAAAATGGAATATGCTGATGCTTTTTGTCTGGGGAAATGGTGTTGTACTAGTTGCCCCTCCACTGAGAGTTGGCTGAAACAAAAGAATTTATTGTGTATGGAATATAGGAGATTTAGTAGGATTGCCTCTTTAAACGTAGAAGACATTCAAAAAAGAAATCTGTGTAAATTATGGTATTAAGAAATGGCCAAGGATTCTTCCACTCCTGAAATGAGTTGATTTGCAGATAACTAAAAAAATCCCCCCCCCTTTTTTAAATTCATTCATTTGTCAGAGAGAGAGAGAGAGCAAGAATGAGGAGTAGCAGGCAGAGGGAGAAGCAAGCTCCCTGCTGAGTAGGATCCAGTAGGACTCAATCCCTGGACCCTGGGATCATGACCAGAGCTGAAGGCAGACACTACACTGACAGAGCCACCCAGGCATTCCAGATAACTCAAAAATTCTTAAGCTAAAGGGCATTTTAGTTTTTTCCAACCCTTTCAATAAATGTGATCACCAAGATGCAGAATTCTTTTTTCAGGAATTGATTTGTTCTGTTGCTCTTTCAGACAATTTCTGATATTTTTTCCTTTAAATTAAATTTGATGTTTCTTCTTTGACAAAAAAAAAAAGATAGAAGTCTCAGATTTTGCTCTCAACTAGGGAGACCCTGAAGGATTTTAAGCAGGGTGATGGTTCCAGTGTGGACTTAAGGGTAGGAAGATAATGAAGAGGTTGGGGAAGATGTAAGAATGAAGAGAAGTGGAAGGATTCCAGAAACACTGAACTGGAATGAACAGCACTTGGATCTGACTATAGGTGGAGAGCAGCAGGAGAAGCAAAATTATGAAACAGGAGGAGGTGGGATAAAATCAGCTTTAAGGGGATATGATTAAACCACAGCTTGCTTCTCAGAGTTTGGGAAAGGTCGCAGCCAATTCCACTTTTTGACAGTGTCTATATATTTGAAAGTTTAAAGACGCCAAGGTGGGGTTACAAAAATTGAGGTATATTTTAAAGATTTAGGTTTAGCAAAATGGTGCTTTTAACATACAGATGCAGCAACTCTATGCAC